TTTGTCTCCACAGACTCCTAAGTGCACCACTCACCCTTTTCCCCTCATCAATTCTATGATTCACCTCATCTTTCATAGACCCATCCGCTGACACGTCCACTCCCAAATATATGAATACATTCACCTCCTCCATACTCTCTCCCTCCAATCTGATATCCAGTCTTTCATCACCTAATCTTTTTGTTATCCTCATAACCTTACTCTTTCCTGTATTCACTTTCAATTTTCTTCTTTTGCACACCCTACCAAATTCATCCACCAATCTCTGCAACTTCTCTTCAGAATCTCCCAAGAGCACAGTGTCATCAGCAAAGAGCAACTGTGACAACTCCCACTTTATGTGTTGTTATTAGTATTATTGGGTTGAGGGTTGTGATGGCTCAAGGGCCATTGTGCCCATCTCACTGCTGTGAGATTAATTATCAGAATACTTTTGTAAATATAAACTATTTAGTACATATTAATAAATTTATTACAGTAAAGGGATATAATACACAAATAACCTGAGACTCCTGTGGTGATAAACAATTTATAAATAAACGGTGTACACTGTGGTGGACTCAGAACTTTGGACAAATATTTATCCTGGTGGTCCCACTAGATTATCCCTTCAATTTTTATTTACTTTATGTACTTTTTAATATCAATCACTAACACATTCAACATTTGTGTAAATACAGCTAGGGTAAGTGAATGACTAGTTGTTGATGGCATAGCAGTATGCAGGTAGCAGTTACTAGCCTTCTTGTATTGGCTTTTAGCTATTTTTTTTCCAAAAGTTACACTGTGCTAGATGAATTTTATGGCACACTCGTTGAAAATATGCTGCAATATTGTAGTAGTGTATCATTGAAAGCGTGTTATGAGGATCGTGTGTTAATCAACTGTCTACTGCAATTCAAATAGCGTGACCATTTCAAAGGATTAATTGTTCACACTAATCAAGATCTTGCTGTATTACACTGAGTGTTGAGAGGCCATGATGGTAAGTGAGAGAGAGAGGCCATGATGGTGAGTAAGTGAGAGAGGTGTTAACCATTAATCTTGACAAAATTGTTACATCACTGTTAACTCTTATGAGGAGAAACTGAAGACTTAATGATTACTCAGGATTGTGGTAGGAGACCTTGAATGACGTCTCATAAACAAGGACAGCAAATATCTCAAGGTATGTTTGTATTGACTGACATAAAGATCAGTTTTGCTTGTCCTGGGCATGTGATGCAATGTGTAGTGGTTGATGGTAGTTAACTGATCCTGGTGTTTTTTATTTAATGTTAGTTAATCACAAGTGTTTGCAAATTTATTTATTTTTATTGTATGTTTCCTGCACTACTGATGTTCACACGCTTTATATATTTTTATTACAATAAATTGGTTACTTGCTGTGTGCTAAATAAATTGAATTAATGTGTGTTTTGATACATTATATTTTAGTAATTGTTGTTGGTATGTGTACAGTGTTTTAATCACTAAATTTACAAATTTTGTTTACATATTAGCTTACAGTTTAGTGTACACACAGTACATAGACCTGCATATATTATGCATTTACTGAGTCTGAGACATGTAGGTAGGAAGAGAGGTGAAGTGTTAGGGTTGTGGGGGGTGGAGAGAAGAAGTAGTATGAGTTTAGGATGAAGATGGAAGGATGAGAATGGTAAAGGTATAAGAGGAAGGCAGAAAGTGAGGTGGAGAATTAAGGTAAATACAGTAAACCCTCTATATAATGGACTAATAGGGTAGTTGGGTAGAGGGTGGATAATAACAGTAATTGTGGTGGATAAAGACAAAATTGTTCTGCCATAATCAATTCTGTAACCAAGAACTTCGTCCATTGTTTCCGAAGATTGTTACATGGAGGTCTTGTATAGGGAGGGTTTACTGTCAGTAATAGTTTGCAGCAAACAAAAATAGTGATAATTAACAAATTACATTTAATGAGCTTGTACCTTCATGTGTTTTCTCTTCAGTTCTTTTCATAGGCTACATATTTTCCATGAATATTACGCTCTACTGGCCAGGTACAGCATTCATTTTTAAACTGTGATATACTTTTACTGTCATTTGTTCAGTACTTGGCCAGAAGTACACAGACATTATATTTTAGAACTTGATAGTGATCATCAGTGGAAGGTCTGTGTTGATAGTGATCATCAGTGGAAGGTCTGTGTGTTGATAGTGATCATCAGTGGAAGGTCTGTGTGTTGATAGTGATCATCAGTGGAAGGTCTGTGTGTTGATAGTGATCATCAGTGGAAGGTCTGTGTGTTGATAGTGATCATCAGTGGAAGGTCTGTGTGTTGATAGTGATCATCAGTGGAAGTCTGTGTGTTGATAGTGATCATCAGTGGAAGGTCTGTGTGTTGATAGTGATCATCAGTGGAAGGTCTGTGTGTTGATAGTGATCATCAGTGGAAGGTCTATGTGTTGACAGTGAACATCAGTGTTTATAAGTTACATAGCTAGTTACTAGCAGTGTTTATAAGTTACTTAAATACTAGCTGTGTTTATACTGATATAACTAGCTACTAGCAATGTTTATAAGTTACTTATGAAAATGTTCATTTCCTTGCAAGGCTTACAATGTGGTTTACATATTATAAAATATTAGAAAGAGGCTACTTGCAAGCCTAGGCACTTCGGGCAGACTAATACTAATTCTTACTCTATTTTGGCACAGGTTATGGAGCAGTACATTTTAATATACCTTATTACATACTGATATAAAAGTTAGGTAACTCAAGTGATTAACTAGATTTATAATAATAAGATGCAAAACATATAACAATATTACAATTAGTAAATTTTGTAATGGGAATGGTTTATCTTGGCATGATACACTGTTTCTATCAAAGCTCCTATATTGGGAGAGTATCTTAGGCAAACTTAGGACTAACTTAAAATTCATTAGGCAATACCTGTACGTATTAGGAATTTTATGTTTACAGTCATTTGGGAGAGTGTAAGTGTAAATTAGGGGGAATTACAGATAGCGAGAGTAAGTCTGATTTGTTTTGGATGTGTTCATGATACTAGCAGTGTTCGTAACTGACATAATTAGCTACTAGCAGTGTTCATAAGTTACATAGCTAATGGCAGTGTTTATAACTTACTTAGCTACTAGCAGTATTTATAAATTACATAGCTAGTTACTAGCAGTGTTTACAGGCATGGTTGCAGAATGCAGTTTTTTTTTGTTTTTAAAATTTCACTTATTGTGGCAAGATATTTTTTTTATTTGTACCTTATATATTGCCTTCTTTTATGTCACTATTAAGTTTCTTATATAAGTATATAACTATATATTTTCTGTTTTGTGTATACTTTCTAATGTATTAACTCTTTCATTGTGGTCTCCCTCGAAATTAAAAATCCCATCATATCACAGTTTTTTAAATAATTAAATAATTGTATCTTCTGAAGTGGAAAGAGGATATTTTCCTGAAGGTAAAGACACCAAAAATGAAAAATTTGGTGCCAGGGTTATGGAATTATGCAGGTGAGAAGTTGAAGGTTGAGGATCACTGTAAGCAGCCACAATTTCACCCACTTTGAAGCCTATTGTAGGCCAATTCCTTTGTTTAAAGTGACCCAATCTCTGGTCATTTCACTGGGTGACTTCCGTTCTGTTGATTGAATGTAAAATTGCCCTTTTAACTGCTCATATGTTGGTAATTTTGCCAATTTTACACAAATTACAATGAATTCAAATGTAAAACAGTGTGCAATAAACACTGTAGACATTCCTCCCTGAATTAAGCCTGAATGCCTTCCATCCCCCCATAGGCGCTGTATACTCCTACGGGTTTAGTGCTTCCCCCTTGATTATAATAATAATGTAGACATTCCTGCCACTAAAGCAACCTTCTCTCTGTTCATGAATCACATCTCAGGCCTCCCCTATGTAACACTTGTCCTCCGTATTGTATTCACTATCACACAAAAATAATCAAGAGTTTTACCTTATTTCCCAGCTAATAAAATATGTATAAGAAAGAGTGATAGGCTGTTTTAAGCAATCCAGATAATTGAGGTAGACATAGCCAAAATCCATGAAACAGACCAGGAGGGGCACCTACTCTTCCTCAGGAAATTCACCAAAAATCGAACATTTCCACAACCTTGAGGTCTCTTTCAAGCCACTGCTGAAACCATGAAAACCACCCTAGAAAATGGATCGAATTTGTTATTTTAAACCAGACAAAGTGAGAGGGTAGTTGTTTCCATCATGCACTGTGTGGGGGCAGGTTTTTTTTATAATGCTCATACCCACCGCACAGACCTATTGTCTGGTGTCAAGTTCAAACTTCACCGCTGATGGCATATTTGACGATCCTGTGATTAAGACAAATCTAAGTCTGCAACGCTGATCCAACTGACATAATTACATCTACAACACTGATCCCGCTGACATAATTACATCTACAACACTGATCCCACTGACGTAAGTCTATGTGAAAGACAGTGAAGGGGTTATCTAGATATGTAATTATGTACTGTATTGTCTTTTTCATGTGTACTTTTTAATGCAGTCTTTATTATAATTGTGCTTATTCATGGTTGTAGATATTGGCAGTAGTATTAAATGTTTATTAAGGAATGTTTAACAAGGAACATGCTGTAGTTTGTACTGAATGTTTTGTTTCTAAGCACCTTGAGGGTTTCTGAAGAGTCACCCAGCAAGTCTTTGCTATGTTTCCCTCATCTGTGAGCGAGACGTGCATAAACTTGGTCTGTTGTTAGTATGTTTGTTGCTTCATACCTATCATCATCTTTGTTGTACCCTACCTGTCACCAAGTTTGTTGTACCATTACTGTCACCATTTTTGTTGCACCATACCTGCCTGTCACCATCTGTTGTACCATTACTGTCACCATCTTTGTTGTGACATACCTGTCACCATCTTGGTTGTATCATTACTTTAATCATCCTTGTTCCACTATGACTGTCACCACCTCCTGGTTAGTTGTACTACCCATGGTCTCTATGTCTGCAGGTAGTGTGTTTCGACCTGAGTCCCTCAACAATAGTGCTTGGTGCTAACAGTGGCACTGTGTATGTACTCGACCACGAGACACTCACACTCAAGCACCAGATACCAACAGAAGTAAGCACATGATTTTTTTTATGGTAAGCTGTTGTAAATGTCCTCTATATAGTTAGATTTTTTACTTTGTAAATGTGTTTCAAAGAGTGAATCCAAATTGAAAAGCAAGCTAATAAATTTTGGATGTATAGTACGTTTTTCAATTGCATTCGCCAAAAATCACACTATATAGAGGGGCTTCTTAAGAAAGTTTACTATATAAATTAATTTCTTAGTCAAGTTTTTTATTTGTCTACCTTCAGAACATTATATAGTACTAAGAAATTTATGAACTTTGGAAAGGCAAGCTGTCAGTACAGTGGACCCCCGGTTAACGATATTTTTTCACTCCGTAAGTATGTTCAGGTGCCAGTACTGACCGAATTTATTCCCATAAGGAATATTGTGAAGTAGATTAGTCCATTTCAGACCCCCAAACATACACGTACAAACGCACTTACATAAATACACTTACATAATTGGTCGCATTCGGAGGTAATCGTTATGCGGGGGTCCACTGTATTTATCTTGAGGAAGACTTACTGGAGTGTTTACCAACCAGAGTCATCCCTCATGCAGTGACTGCAATAGGGGCCATTAGAATCATTTTCTAATCAAAAATTACAACAAGAGAATCTGGTTTACCCATAAAACCCCAGGTTATAACTTGAGATTCAAACTGGAACAGTAATTTGCTGTGTGTTATTGTCTAAGTTCCCTATTTTAAATTGAAATGGGAACTAAGGCTATAACATATTTTTTTATTTCCTGTTTTTTTTAATACAATTTTAGAACTATGCAGTATATATTCACTAGAGATGAGTTCATTATTTGGTAGAGACATTGATGATTTTTTTTTTTATTATTATTATAACACACTGGCCGTCTCCCACCAAGGCAGGGTGGCCCGAAAAAGAAAAACTTTCACCATCATTCACTCCATCACTGTCTTACCAGAAGGGTGCTTTACACTACAGTTTTTAAACTGCAACATTTTTTTTTTTTTCAACAAGTCGGCCGTCTCCCACTGAGGCAGGGTGACCCAAAAGAAAATACTTTCATCATTCAACACTTTCACCTCACTCGCACATAATCACTTTTATAAGTTCATAACACAGACATAGTGGTGATATACTCTTTCTTCTTTAATTAAGTTTCTAACAGACATAGTGGTGATACCTGGAGTATACCTGGAGAGGGTTTCAGGGCTCAGTGCCCCTGTTGCCTGGTTTGTGACCAGGCCTCATGGTGGATCAGGACCTGATAAACCAGGCTGTTACTGTTGGCCACACGCAACCTGGCATATGAACAACAACCCGGTTGGTCAGGTACTGACTTTAGGTGCCTATCCAGCACCTTCTTAAGGATGGCCAGGGGTCTATTAGTAATCCCCCTAATGTAGGCTGGGAGGCAGTTGAACAGTCTTGGGCCCCTGATGCTTATTGTGTTGTCTCTTATATTGCTAGTGGTGCCCCTACTTTTCATTGGGGGAATGTTGCATTGTCTGCCAAGTCTTTTGCTTCCATAGGGAGTAATTTTTGTGTGGAAGTTTGGTACTAACCCCTCTATGATTTTACAAGTGTATATAATTATGTATCTCTCCTGCCTGCGTTCTACAGAGTTGTAACGAAATTATTTGGCGATGCTGGTAGCGGGGAGTAAATGGCCATGGCCCAGGAGGGCCATGCCCACGAAGGAGAGAGCTAGTAGGACTTGTTGACTGCTGCTAGGCCGCTGAGTGAGTGAGGCAGATGCAGGGGTGGGCATAGTGAAGTGGTAAACCTATAGGTGGCAGCACCAGCATGGCGCAAAATATGAACTCAGCTGGCAAACAGCATAGGCTGTCTGTGCAGACAGTACAGGCTGTCTACATTTGCTCGGCTACCTACCTCGCGTCGTCCCGACGCGACAATACTGGTGGTAAAAAAACTCAGTCTCTCTCTCGTAGGAACAGGGCACAGAACACTAAATAAAAAAACGTGTATATACATATGGACATGGAAAAAAAAAACTTCCTACAGGGGGGGAAGAAAAAAACGTGTGGGATGTGCTAAACATCGTGATCAAAGGCAGTGAGCGTCGAAGGGCATCACTGCACGCCTTCCTGCATCTGGACAGATACTGCAACACAGGAGACATCGCTGCGGCTGAGCTGTGACGTAATGGGGTACGGTGTCCTCTAGATCAGTGAAGCAGACATTGTAGGAGTCGCTGCAGGTTTCACTCAACCTGGGGCACTACATGCTGGTGCCCTCGAGTGAGGCATTTTCTAAACTTGGCAACTGGGCAGGACTTCTGGCAAGTGACTCAGGAGGACACTTCTCGACTGGTACTGTCGCTGGGTTGTCACTGCCGGTGAGCGTGGAGTGAGTCGTGGAGTGAGTCGTGGCAGAGACGACTGGGCAAAACATTTGGGAGTCGTAACATCATACACCAGACTGCAGTGAGTGAGCTAGTAGTCAAAGTGACATCTTCTTTGTGCAGGCTGCTCACTGAAGCTTGTGACACGAGGCTGACACAGTGCCTGCCGACAGGGCTAACTGCAACTTGACGAGTGTCATTCTCTCGGCAGTTGGAGTTATAGCAGAGGTTAGTCTAAGCATCCCCAGACTTGTTTCTCTACATATAACTGCACTCTGAAGGTCTGGAGGTGAAGTGAAACAAATCTCGATGGGAATCGTAGCAGGTACAATTCTGCAGAACATCTATGAGCGATGAGCATAAGAGCTTTCTGTACGAAGGGGCTCATACGCTCAGGCTGACAAATATCAGCTGTCAAATGCGCTGGTCACACCGGGTGACAGGCAACAAAGTGCTACACAGGGGTCTGACCTCAAGACCACACTGAACACACGGAAACTTTACACACACCCGCAGTACATGCGGTACAACATGGCTTAAACTAGCAAATGATGCTTTTCTGTTCACAAAACTGACACTAAGCCATACACTAACATGTGAGAACACTGACTGAGAGGAATTAATTAACACAACATATATCTTCTCTCAATCTTCTCGACAATACTGACATAATTACTGAAACACTCGATGTGACATCATGTGATGTCAGGCGTGACGTCGCGAGGTGACATCAGAAGCACTGTGACATCAGCAGACATCTCAGGGTGACGTCAGGCAGACATCGTGATGTCATGAAGTCGGGCAGCAGCATCGATAACTCACGTGGCTCGTAGATCCACATGGCTTCGTCCACACCCCACGTGGCGTCATGATCTACGTGGCTTGCTGATCCACATGGCTTGCTGATCCACATGGCTTGCTGCTCCACATGGCTTGCTGATCCACGTGGCTTGCTGATCCACGTGGCTTAGTGATCTACGTGGCATGCTGATCCACGTGGCTTCGAGTGGCCTCAGGCACTCGGATACACAGCTCTGGCAATTAATTCACATGGAAAACAGCAGAAACACAGCAGAGGAAGTGAGTGCATAGTGGTGTATGGTAGTGTGGTGGCGCAGAGCGTGGGTGAGTGTATGGCGAGGGAGGATCTGGCCACTTCCTCCTCTCAAACCCACAACACGGCGAAATACTCACACTGGACGCAGAAATCACCACAAACTCGCCTCTGGCTTGCTGAAATAGCTGTGTTGAGCTGAACAACAACATCAGAACATACAAGAGATGCTGAACACGTGACTTGAGAAACAGCATGGGACGCTGTGGCGGGGGGTCACTGGAACACCATTTACAATTCTAGAAGAAATTTGGGAAATTTCGGTTAGATCCTGCTTGTACCTGTGTCTGGATGCTAAAGTGTGCAGACACGACATCAGGATAACTCGTTGAGAGACGGATGTTTCTAGTGTAGGGTGATGAAGTGAACACAACTTCATTCCATTTCCTTCCTCTCTCCGGGCAAACACAACTGCTGCGACCACCGCTTCCCACCATTTATAACGTGATTATTTTGTGTTTCTGGTAGCGGGGAGTAAATGATACGTCTTTGGAGGCTTCTTTACTTTATTTGAAAAATTGTGGTGTGTGGCTTTTGTGTTGTGTGACCATTGCCCAGGAGGGCTATGCCCACGAGGGAGAGAGCTAGTAGGACTTGTTGACTGCTGCTAGGCCGCTGAGTGAGTGAGGCAGATGCAGGGGTGGGCATACTGAAGTGGTAAGCCTATAGGCGGCAGCACCAGCATGGTGCAAAATATGAACTCGGCTGGCAGACAGCATAGGCTGTCTGTGCAGACAGTACAGGCTGTCTACAGAGTACAGGTTAAGGAACTTCAAGTGTTCCCAGTATTTGAGGTGGTTTATCGCAGTTATGTGTGCCATGAAGGTTCTCTGTACATTTTCTAGGCCAGCAATTTCACCTGCTTTGAAAGGTGCTGTTAGTGTGCAGCAATATTCCAGCCTAGATAGAACAAGTGACCTGAAGAGTGTCATCATGGGCTTGGCATCCTTAGTGTTGATGATTCTCATTATCCATCCTGTCATTTTTCTAATAGATGCGACTGATACAATTTTATGGTCTTTGAAAGTAAGATTCTATGTCATTATCACTCCCAGGTCTTTTACATTAGTTTTTTGCTCTATTGTGTGGTTGTAATTTATTTCATATTAGGATATAGTTTTAATTTCCTCATGTTTTCCATATTGGAGTACATAGTTGAAATTGCTCATCATTGAACTTCATATTGTTTTCTGTGGTCCATTTAAAGATTTGGTTGATGTCCGCCTGGAGTCTTGCATTGTCTTCAGTGGATGACACTGTTGTGCAAATTTGGGTGTTGTTCATACTCTTCCTTTATAAATGCATAACATATAGTCAAGTCAGAGTCAAAGTAAAAGTAAAAGATTTATTTCAGCATAATGCAATGTACAGATGCCCCGCGGATTGGTGGCTAAAGCTCTCGCTTCACATGGTGAGGGTCCGGGTTTGATACCTGGCAAGGGTAGAAACATAATATATATATATTATAATAATATATATATATATATATATATATATATATATATATATAAAATATATATATATATATATATATAATATATAATAT